TATCATTAAATCAAATGATTAAATTTAATATTAAAAATGAAGTTAAGCTTTAGAGACGCTTTATTTCAATATGAACAACAAAAACAATTAAAGCTAAATTTCACAATAAGAAAAGTAGACTTTCAATTTTTTACATTAAAGGTTAAGACTAATAAATTAAATTGAATAGAATTGAGAGTATCATTGTCTCATCATTCTCATAAATCGTTGTCGCCAAGTAATAATCGATTGTTTAAATTGTTTTTTGTAAAAACTCGATGGTAGAACAAATATTACAAAGATGAAGGATGATGGGATGAATGACACAAAATAACCACAAAGACACAACCAAGGATTTCGTGATGCTTTAACACATGTTGATAGTAATGAAATAAGAAAGCGAGAAAATAGTAAAACAGCTAATACAATAGAACTAATAATAAGTTGTTTGTGTTCATTGATTTGATTAACTAGTTGTTGTCTATAATTAAATTTTGTTCGAGTGGTCGTTCGTTGACGCGCAATGTTAATGATAATATAAAGAGCTGAGAATAAATTTATTGCACAAGGAACTACAAAATGGAAATATTGAGTAATTGTAGTATATCTTTCAATTGATTGAGAGTAACGAAGTACACACCAAACACGTCGTTCTTCATGATCATTGAATAAATCACGATAGATGAGTTCAAAACTCATTGAACCAAAAATTATAAATGTTAAAAGGCAACATACCCATCGTGCAATACATCTACTTCTTTGTTTATTAAAATTAATTCCTTGAAAGACTGATATTGCTCTTTCTATAGCCACACAAGTATTAAGCCAATTACTCATATTTAAGAAAAGACGAAGTAAAGGTTCAAATACTAAACATCCAACTCGAAGAATATTACGATTGATCAATGGATTCATATACGTATATGTTACAAACCAGAACTTAATAATTAACATAGTAACAATTAGAATAGAAATAATTGATGATAATCGAAGATAAATTCCAGATCCTACTTTACGAGAATCACGATTATGGAAAACTAAATAACTAAGAAAACCATTGATTAAACCAACGAGAAAAATAATCATGACAAATATTGCACTTAATTTAACTACCAATGTTTGATCATTTAATGTACTGTTAGGTCGAATTTCGTAACGTAATAAATCATCCAATGTTAATCCAATACCTTTAGCATAAAATTGACATCGATCACCAAAGAAACAATCGTTACATACACATAGAATACTATAAAAACATATAGGTTGATCTTGTAAACATGTTCCACCATTTTCACAATAAACATTATCTTCACAGATAAAACTCGATTGTTGATCTAATAGAAAGCAATTACTATGATGTTCTTCTGTGCATAGACACATGTAAAATTCATCCACAAAACATTGCAAATTAAAATTATGTTGACATGGAATATGATAACTTTTCAATCGTTGAATTCGTGGCAATGATACTAATGTAGTGTTTAAAACTTCAGCAACAGAAGCACATCGTTGTGCGGGACTAATCGATGTTGTTATGTTCGATTGTTCTTCTTTCTGAAGTACAGCCAAATAATAACGAGTATCAATTTTGGCAAGAATCATTTTAAACATATATTGAGAATATAAAATGACTTGATTCTGAAACATGATCATTTTTTTGAGTATAATAGATGTTGGGATTGATCGCTCAAAACGAATCTGATTGTATATATAGACGACTAAGTGTGATGGAATAGCGATATTCTCAAGGGAAATCTCTATTTTATGATTGACGTATTGGCATCTTGGTCCATGAAATTGTTCTGAACAAAAGCACACATAACTTTCATCAACCATTCTCTCATCGATTACGACACATCGACCATTATTTTCGCAAAATTCTATTGGACACGTTAGTTTAAGACGACAAAATGAACCAAACCTAGTTTGAGGACAAACACATATTGACCGATTTTGAATAGAGCCAATACAGATAGAATTTGATGCGCAGATACTACAATCGATTGGAATATGACATTGTGCACCAGACCAACCTGAATCACATTGACAGAAGAATCGTTCTTCATTATGATATTTCATACAAATACCATTATAACATTGCAGATTACAATGATTAAAATTCGATGATCGAGATATTGGAATAGTCAAAAAAGCACTTAATCGATTAACTGGCAAAAAAATAAATGGAATTGTTAAATGCCAACTTAATAGATACGTCAACGAACTCTTGTCAAATGCATCAATACGAATGCTATAATTTTTTGAAATATTCTTTCCTCGTGTTGTATATAACAGATAGATATCTACAGTTTGACCACAATATGTTTTTGATTCATAAGTAAATTGATGGTACGAATGAATTTCTTGTATATCGTTATCGTCTTCCATTAATGTAACAATAATAGCATAGACAATCGGCTGACGAACCGTTGCCAATGCGAGAGTTAAACTAACACGTTGATTTTGATACTGGCATTGATCACCATAATAGTTTGGTGGACAAAAACATAGACTACTGTAATTACCGACTCCAAGTCGATGATACATATGTAAACCATAATTACAAATATTGGACTGTATGATATTTCTAATCGGAAATTCTGTCTTTTTGTCAGCGATCTGGTTTTTAATAGAATAAGTTGGAATAATCTGTGGGGTTGGATAAACTAATGCAGTATCTAATAAGAAAGACTTATAAGCTGTATTAATGATTCGGCATGAAGTGTCTCGTATATCAATAAGATTATCAAAACTATAACCATTACATAGTTGTAGACGTTCAACACAAAATTCATAATTATTATACGCTAAACAAACTTGGTTTTCATTGCATAGATTTTTATCTTCTCTACATTTCGTGTTATTCAAGCAATGAAATTTGTTCGTTTGAAAGTATTGAGATTCATCAGATGATGCTCCAAAACAAATGACAGTTTCATCGATGACTTGACCAGCTGGTAAACACATCTGCGTATAATT